TTCTTTCTTTCTTCCTTTCTTTCTCTTTCTCTCTGTTAGTCTGTGTGTGTGTGTGTGTGTGTGTGTGTGTGTGTGTGTGTGTGTGGCAGTGGTGGGTTTCAAAATTTGTTGGAACCTCTTCTGTAGGTGTGGCCTGCTTTCCGGGTCCACTGGCGGAACCTCTTCTAACCGGTTCGGTAGATTTGACGAACCGGTTCTACCGAATAGGTGCGAACTGGTAGGAACCCACCTCTGGGGCAAACTCACTTAACAAATGTTACACTGAGCAACGTAAAATGTTGGTGCTCAACTGTGGTCGTAACTCGAAGACGACCTGCACCCGTTCTGTGTTTTAGCAACGTCTTACCTTGCAGGATGGAAGTCCCGTCACTTTCGTGTTTCATCCACCTTCGCAGCGCACTCTGCCGGGCGTCTGAGGACGTCTTGAACGGTTCGGGAAAGTTGGGGCCCGATTCTGCATACTGAAAGGGTTAGAACGAAGAGGGGGGGGACACACAGTTAGGAAGTCCCCGAAACGTGGACCAAACACAGACAAGAGAGCAATGGAGAAGAAGGCCCCTTCTTGGATGGGGGAACCAAATGTTTCCTTACCTGCTGTTCTTCTTGTTTCTTGTCTTCGGCCTGGGTCAAGAGGAAGATCTCAGCCAGGGCTACGGCTTGGGAGCTGGACTCGGCTCCACATTCCCGGACCCACCTCTGCATCTCCGGAGGAATGACGGCTAGGAACTGCTCCAGGATGACGAGATCCAGAATCTGGTTCTTGGCATGTTGCTCCGGTCTGAGCCACAGATGGCAAAGATCGTGGAGTTTCTTACAGACTTCTCGGGGCCCCTTGGCGTCCTGGTACTGGAACTGCCGGAAACATTGACGGTGGACCTCCGGACGAATCCCCCAGTGTTCTCCACTGCTCCCTGACTTGATGGTCTCTGGGTCCCTTTCGGCTTCTGGGCCAGCTGCGTTTTGCTCGTCCATCCTCGAGACGTTTTCCCGACAGGACAGACGGCCTTCCTCGGCTGTCAATGACAGCCCCCAAGGCAAGGATGGCTCTGGTTGACGGTGGCTAACACATTCTGCAAAGTCAAGACCACGGAGTGTCATTGCAAAGTCCTCCTTCTTCTAGGAGGGGAAGCCTTTTCCCAGCCAAAGTTGGGTTGGCTCTCAAAGGAACCAGAGGAAATCCCTGCTGAGTTGAGCCTCTCTTTTGGACGTCAATTTTTTTTTTTTTACGTTTTCGTTTATTTATTAGGTTACGTCACACAGCGCTCATCCCCCTCCCCCTCCAAGGGTTTTGGAGGATGGAGTAAAGAAACCCTCAGCAGCGGGAGACCACAAGGCAAACTCTCGAGCCGTTTTATCCTGTTCAAAACGGGATTGTCCAACCTTGGCAACTTTTAAGACTTGCCCGTCTTCAACTCCCAGAATTTCCCCCAGCCAGCATCCTCCCAAGATGCGATTCAGTTTTAGTGGCGAGACTTTGTCTTAGTCCAAAACCACACCACTCCCCATCTGCCGCCTTCAGAGAGCGATTTCCACCCCCTTTTCCCTCTAGGCAAGATTACATTCAATTTACACTTGTTCATTCAGTCACTGTTCCTAGAGTGGTGCGGTGGCCTAGAGGTGGCGCTCTCACCTCACAATCAGGAGAGGCAGATATTTCTCTCTCTGGGCACAATGAGAATATTTCTGCCAAACAAAACTCCGCAATGGTGACAGGAAAGGCATCGGGCCACTAAAACACTCTGCTAGCTCCATTCAGTTGCCCAGACTCCACCCCGCAAGTCGATAGTGATTTAGTGAACGTCCCAGTACAATGGCATTGGAAAAAGAGACTTTATGATTTTTTTTTTCACACTTACAACTGTTGCACTATCCTCACGGGTCACATGATCAAACTTATTGGAGGTTTGGCAACTGGGTTACATTTATGACAGTTGCAGTGTCCCGGGGTCATGTGATCACATTTTGTGCCCTTCCATGCCCAGATTCACTTAATGACCGTTACTAAATCAATGCAATGATTCACTTAACAACAGTGACTAGAATCGTCATCCAATGGGGCAAAACTCACTTAACGCCTGTCTCACTTAGTGACAGAAATTTTGGGACTTGATGGTGGTACAGGGACTGCAGTGGGCTGCCCTAGACAGAAGAGCTGCAGAAAGAACGGCAACCCAACTCCCACTCCTTCCCCATACAAAAGAGGCATCCCTTTGGGTTCCTTCCATGGGACAGTTGCTCTTTAAAGAGCCCCCCCCACCCCCATCCCATGCACAAGAGTGGCTGAGGGGGCTGCAATGCAAAGAGCCCCCCCCCATTGCGCCCCGGGGGCTCCCCTACCTGGCTTCATTGTTCTCTCTCTCTCTCGTCGAACAATACCTGGATGCTGAGCTCCCCCTCCCCCTTTTGGCTTTGCAGAGAGAAGGAAGCAAGAGCGCCAGGACAGCAGGACGGAGACCCCTCCCCACCCTCACCAGCAGATCCCGCCCTGCCCTTTTTCTTTGCAAAGGGGGGGAGGACAGGTTGCAGCCTGGGCATTGCCCCTCCCTGGGGAAGGAATCCCAAACCCTCCCCCACCCCTCGCCTCTGCAGCTCTTGGGAGAGAGAGACCCTTCTCTGCAAAGCGGCGCTGCAGGGGGCTGGAAACTCACCCAATTCCCCCCCAAGGGGGTCTGCAATGCAAAGCTCCGAGCAAGGGGGGGAGAGAAAAGGCCACTCCCCCCTCCTTTCCCCACCTCCCCCCCCCCTTGTTGGAAAAGGCGGAGCAGGAAGAGCCCTTGGCGGGAGGATAGCTTGCAAGGGAAGGACCCCCCCCTCTTCCCTCCTGCCCCAATTCGCTTCCTCTCTAGGAGGCCGGCTCGTTGCATTTAACCCTTGCAAAGCCACCAGGCGGGATCGACCCCCCCCCTTTCTTTTTTGCAACCAGGAGAAAAACATCTGGGCACCGCTGGGCGGGCGTGGCCAGGATGCATGGAAACTGCAAAGACGTGCACATGTTCCAACGGGAGCCCCTAGGTGCATCATCTGCTTCTCATCGGGGGGTGGTTAAGGCAATAAAAGCCCCCCACCCAGTAAGATATCCCCCCCACTCCTTCCCCGTTGCAGGGAGGCGCCTTGCCTCGAAAGCAAGGGTTAAGGGTTAAAACCAGCGACGGCTGAGTTCCCAGAGAGGAAAGAGAAGGCAACAGGAAGGAGAAAGGGAGGAGCCTCTCTAGGAAACAGGCTCCTCCCAGAAGGATTATGGGTGGAGGGTGGAATAAGGGAGGCAGATGCCGGCCGCTTCTGCAGGGTCGGACCTGCTGCTGGTGAGCCCCGATGCTTTTGGGGGAGAAGGGCGGCCTGGGGCTGCAGGGAATGCGGCCCAGGAGGTAGAAGAGACCCCCCCAGGCTGTAGCCCTTGCAGGAATTGTAGGGGTGGGGGAGAGGGGCTTTTCTGGGGGGGGGGGAATGCATGGGGGAGGGGGGGTTGCGCATGGCCTTGAAACGTGGACGGAAAAGTTTGCTCCCTTCGGTCTCCACTTTGCATAGCAATTCTGACGGATGCTGTTCCTGGAGGTTTAAATCAGGCGTGCCCAACCTTGGTCCCTTTTAAGACTTCAATTCCCAGGATTCCCTTGTCTGGATGGCTGCGCTGGGGAATGCTGGGAGTTGAAGTCCACAGGTCTTAAAGGGGCCAAGCTTGCTCCCTCCTCCGTGGTTTAAATCAGGGTTCCCCAACTGGTTCGTCCGTGAACCGTGAGAAAATTTTGGTGGTCGGCAGAAAAAATTATTTGCATTCTTTTATATTGCGCTAAATAATATTTATCTTTTTAAAAATGCATATTAGGGGTCTGCGGGATTTAAAATTACGAATTTAGTGGTCCGAAAGGTTGGTGACCCCTGGTTTAAATCATACAGAAGAGAACTTGATGTTTCTCCTGAAGCTGTTTCATATGTTGTTGCTAGGTGCGAAGTAGTGTCTGACCCATCGCTACGCCATGGACAACGTCCCTCCAGGCCTTCCTGTCCTCTACCATCCTCTGGAGCAGTGGTCTCCAACCTTGGCAACTTTAAGACTTGTGGATTTCAACTCCCAGAGTTCCTCAGCCAGCAAAGCAGGCTGCTCTGGAGTCCATTTAAGCTCACACCGACTGCTTTGGTGACTCCATCCAGCCACCTCCTTCTCTGTCGTCCCCTTCTTCTTTTGCCCTCAGTCTTTCCCTGCATGAGGCTCTTCTCCAGGGAGTCTTTCCTTCTCATTAGGTAGCCAAAGCATTTGAGTTTCCTCTTCAGGATCTGGCCTTCTAAAGAGCAATCAGGGTTGATCTCCTCTAGGACTGGCCGGTTGGATCGCCTTGCAGTCCAAGGGACTCAATGCAGGAGTCTTCTCCAGCCCCAGAGTTCAAAGGCCTCAATTCTTTGGCACTCAGCCTTCCTTATGGTCCAACTTTCCCAGCCATACACTGTAACGAGGGAAACCAGTTTTATGGATGCATATTTTGTATATACATGTCAGTGAGCCTCTTCCTTTTTCTTTTTTAGAGATACTTGGCACTTTGATGACGTCTTGCGTTGCAGAGATGTGAATTTTGCTGAATCTTGAGCAGAGTTCTTAACTGCCCGGTTATGGAAGAGAATTGTGGGGTTATGAGCCCTTTTGGTAAGTCTCCCCATTTTCTGAGGTTTGAGAATCAGAATGCTTTGCACATTCTGTTTCATGACTTCATATTTCTTTCTTTTGGTCTACCAAAAGATTGTATGGCATGGCTATTTAAAACATTTGTTTTTCCTAGTAATGCAATTCTTCAGTCAAATTGAATAATTGAATGTCAGCTCATTCAATTGTTCAACCATAAGAGCTATCTTGAAATCTCAGAAATTGGGATTTAAGAAGCACTTTTTCTGAATGGCCCCACAATGAAGAATTCCTGCTCCATTATTTTTATTTAAAAAGTAAAAAAAAGAGAAGAGATACTGTAAAATTTGCCTGCCAAAACATAAAAACTCAAAGTTTGACACACCAATGCAATCCTAAATTGCATTAACGGGGATATGATAAAGATCAAGTAAGGTACTAATACCCATCTATAAAGCCTTAGCAAGGACACATCTAGAATGCTGCACCCAGTTTTGGTCCCCACACTATAAAGATGTTGAGACTCTAGAAAGAGTGCAGAGAAGAGCAACCAGGATGATTAGGGGACTGGAGACTAAAACATATGAAGAACGGTTGCAGCAACTGGGCCTGGCTGGTTTGATGAAAAGAAGGACCAGGGGAGACATGATAGCAGTCTTCCAATATTTGAGGGGCTGCCACAGAGAGGAGGGGGCCAAGCTATTTCCCTAATCATCTGAAGGCCAGACAAGGAATAATGGATGGAAACTGACCAAGGAGAGATTCAACCTAGAAATAAGGAGGAACTTTCTGACAGAACAATCAACCCATGGAACAGAAGTTGCCTTTGGAGTTTGTGGGAGTTCCGTCACTTGAGACTTTCAAGAAGAGATTGGACTGGCATTGGTCAGAAAAGGTGTAGGGTCTCCAGCTTGAGCAGGGGGTTGGGCTAGATGACCTATAAGGTCCCTTCCAACTCTGTTAATCGGTTAAAAACTAAAGTTATTCTGATAGTGGCATTCTTACCAAACAACGACCCTTTATCTTTGAAATAAAAAAGATAAAATCAGTGGAAATCTCAAATGTTAAGACGAATTCCAAAGTATGTTTTCTCCTGTTTTCATTGCAGAAGTTGGCAGTTCAGAGACGGAGAATAAAGAATTGTGTGTTTTGGATGCAGAAAAGAAGGGGGGAGATAAGGAAAGGGAGCCTCCGAGAAGGAAAACTAAATTAAACCCGATGAAGAATAAAGCATCTCCTTCTTTGGCCAAAGATCACCCTGGTCGGCTCGCCAGTCTGGGAGAAAACGACAAAGGACATGGAACGGAAATCTTCCTTCAGCGCCAGAAAAGTTTCCATTCGGACTCCAACCTCATAGCTCATTGCACCAGCTACGTCAAGGAGCAGCCCTTCAAATGCGAGAAGTGCGGGAGGAGTTTCGGCTTGAGCATGCACCTCAGCGCCCATCGGCGGATGCATGCGCAGGAGAAGCCCTTTAAATGCTCCCAGTGTAGCAAAAGTTTCGGCGCCATAACTAGCCTCGCCAGTCACCAGCGGAGCCACACGGGAGAGAAACCCTACAAGTGCTCAGAGTGCGGCAAGAGCTACGCTTCCGGCACCAGCATGGCTTACCACCAGAGGACGCATCGCGGGGAGAAACCTTACAAGTGCTTGGAATGCGGCATCGGCTTCAGCTTGAGCACCAGCCTCATTTCCCACCAGAGGATCCACACGGGGGAGAAACCCTACAAGTGCCTGGAGTGCGGGAAGAGCTTCCGGGTGAGCACAAGCCTCACCTCCCACCAGCGCATCCACACGGGGGAGAAGCCCTACCGGTGCTCGGAGTGCGGTAAGAGCTTCTGCGTGAGCACGAACCTCACGTACCACCAGAGGACGCACACGGGGGAGAAGCCCTACAGGTGCTTGGAGTGCGGGATGGGCTTCTGCCTGAGCACCAGCCTCACCTACCACGAAAGGATCCACACGGGGGAGAAGCCCTACCAGTGCCTGGATTGCGAGATGAGCTTCCGGCGGAGTTCGGATCTCAACACCCACCAGAGGATCCACACGGGGGAAAAACCCTACCAGTGCATGGCGTGCGGGAAGAGCTTCCGGGTCAGCTCCAGCCTCACTTCCCATCAGAGGACCCACACGGGGGAGAAACCCTATACCTGCTCGCAGTGTGGGAAGAGCTTCAGCAGGAGCACACACCTCAACGCTCACCAACGGACCCACAGGGCAGCAGCCGTGGGAATACTTAAGTCTGGATACGCCTGAGAGCAGGTCTCATTGAGGAATTCTCTCAAGACACAACCCCCCCTCCCCCAAGCTTTGAATGTATGGAACGAGATTTAATTTTTAGTAGACCGTATTAATGTTAGAAGTGGTGCGGTGGCCTAGGGGTGGAGCGCTCGCCTCACAATCAGGAGGCTGTGAGTTCGATCCTGGGTAGAGGCAGATATTTCTCTCTCTGGGCACAATGAGAATAGATCTGTTGAATATAACTCCGCATTGGCAACAGGAAGGGCATTGGGCCAGTAAATACTCGGCTCCATTCAGTTGCCCAGACTCCACCCTGCAAGAGATTATGGGGTCATTAAAAGAGGACGGCGACCATATTAATGTTCTGGAACTAGGATAAGAAACCTATTTCCTTTTCTTTGTCCGGATGTTTTAGTACCTGGCTTCGTGCCTCCCCTTAACTTTCGTTCTGTAAACGTTGAAACTGGATTAAAACTTGGCACAACTTTAGTGCTGAGTTGTTCTGCAAGTGGCAAATAAAATCTTTAGTATTGTCTATTGTTCCTCAAATACAGGCTGAAACTTACCGCCTCCTCATGTCACAGCCTTCCTCTCTGGGGTGAGAGTAAATGGCTGGGGGTGGGGGGAAGAGGGGTCACGATTGGTCGCACGAGATACTATTTGCCTTAATGGGAAACTTCCAGGATGCAGGGCCACTGCAAAGAATTCCGGAAAATAAAATCTGCACATCTGGAGGAAGCCAAGTAAGAAAGTGCTGTCCTAGTATAGGACCAGAGAGATGTTACTTTAATCTCTGCTAAGACTATGTATTAATCTCTTGATTAATACATAGTCTTAATCGCCCTATCTTCTATAGGTAGATGTTTGACAACTTGTCGGGATGAAATTTGAGATCAGGGGCATATATTTGTGAGTGGCTGGGGACGTAGCAATCTTCTCCAAGACCTCTGAAAATCATGGAGCACAGGCAGAGTGCCTGAAAATTAGTCTTCAAAAAAGGTAAAAAGGAGAATTCGGTCAGTTTGAATTTGCGGCAAAATTCTGTCACAGATCTTTAAGTTTGAGTGCTTTTAATACTACAACATTTTGCTTGACAGGAGTGTTTCTCAAGAAAAAAAACGACAGTCCTATAATTACGATTTTATAATCGTTTTAGGCCATGGGAATGCAATAGGCACTGTGGGTCTTTTATTTTGCAAAGCATTTTGATAAAGCAGGGGTGTCCAACTGTGGCAACTTTAAAACTTGTGGGCTTCAAAGTCCCAGAATCCCCCAGCATGCAATTCCTCAGCATGCAAAAAGCAGCTGAGTATCTTGGAAGGGGCGGGGGAGAGATATATATTCTAAAACCCTAGGAATAGGATTTGCTTGCTTGTGGCCCTGCTCCGCTAGATCTAACCCATGCTGACTTAATCAACAAATCAAAGTTAATACAAACATTGCTTAGCTGATACAGGAATGCAGCCAAGTTCTTAATTCTATTGTACAAGGAGTCGGTGTACAGAAACTTACCTAGAAGACACAGGCATTTGAAATGATACAAGTGAAGCTGTTGTTTCTATATATTTATTGTAAAAGTGACAAGACGGAAATGGCCTTAGATGGCACCTCTTGGGGTTTTGAAGTTCATCCCTACGGTGGGCTGTGTGACTTGCAGGTTGGACAGGCTGCCAAAGTCCTGTGAATAGAAGAGAGGCAAGATACACTTAAGTAGACCCCTGGGCAAGAGCTGCAAAAGATCTTTTCATTCAGGCTAAATGGTCTACTCGAAACCATCTGGGTGATCTTTTGAGGCTCAATTTCCTTGGTGTGCAAAAACAAATGAAAGCTTTTGTAGTCATCGTGTGTTTCAAGTATTCTAGCGATTTGCCAAGAAGTTATGTTTGCTTTATCCCCTATATCCGCCTGGCTTTTAAACACCCTACTACTTAATAATGCTCCCCCCACAAACCATTCAGAATAGCAATAGCAATAGCAGTTAAGACTTATATACCACTTCATAGGGCTTTCAGCCCTCTCTAAGCAGTTTACAGA